CTGTAATTTTACAAATAGAGAATAAGTGGCTACGTCTATGTTCGTGGACAATTACATGATGTTCAATTGACCGTCTAGTGGATACTGATCACGTCAGTCCCAAGAATGTTGTCTGCAGATGACCGAGGACCTCGAACCCGCCAAAAAATCGCGCTCGTTCAGTCGCAAAATGTAGAAAAATCTTTAGTATAATTTCGTTACGCGCGAGCTTCGTGTAACGTTAATCGTATAGCAAAAGATTGTAGCTCACACGGAAGACAGTCAACCGTGAAAAATGAAATTGTGTCTCGAGTTACATTTCCCGTCGTCGTCGGATTCTCTATCGAAATGCTACAAGCTCGTATACGAATTGTCGATTGATTCCCTACGATTCGGTACAAAAAGATTTCTATTCGAAAAGAGATACTTGAAAGATCAACGATGCTCATCGCTTCGTTTAATTTAAACAATGCCGTTAGCCTTATACTTGTTGTCTTAGTAATTGATAATTATAAGATACGATACTTAGCAAAACTGTTGCACATCGGTATAAGCATTCGGAAAATGGTGTTCGTTTGGAAACAGCGATAAAGTTAGTGTTGACAGAACGACGTTGATTTGTTTAAATAGAAAATTAAATGATTATAGTGATCATCGTTCACGCGATGGCAATGCGCACGACGAATAGTTGTATAGTAAGTTAACACGCGCTTACAATTAGAATGTTACTTAGTCGTACGATTAGTTATAGCGCCTAATCACTAGATATTCACGAAAATTGAAATACAAGAAAGAATCTCCGTTCAATTATCAATTTGCAAATTCGCTCGTAAGCTGTTTTAAAAATATGCCGTTAACACTAACTTTATTTCCACGTCGCATCTTATGTTGAACTCGAAAATCCGTTTTCATTGCTTGTCCGAGTAAAATGAGGGAACTCTTGATCATGCGAAATACATATACGGCACGGAAAACAGTTCACCACGATCACCAATGATAATTCAAAATACGCGTCTTCAATGATTAAACGATCGACTAGCACGAGACTATTCAACGGGTGCGTTGTTTGCTGTATCGGAACGACGGTTTACGAAGCGCAATAGCTGCGATCCACTGGACTAGATCATTAAAAAAGATGGAAACTGTACGAACTACGATCGTAGATTCTATTCGTCGCGTGTCGACGCGATTTCCCTGCGATTCACGGTTCCCCTATCGCGGACACCTGTTTCACCTCTCTTTCACTAATTATATCGTCTGTTTCGTTCACTGGTAAAGTCCAAAAGATTATATATCGTACATCGAGTAAGTCGACAATGTTTAACCACAGGCACGAAATAGTCCAACTAATAGCAATCGTCGCAATACGATATCAATTAACGGTAACGTTTGTGTACATTAATATTAAAATTTGCACTATATCTTCGTCATTATTCCTAACGTTGGGTCTCTTAGTTAGTGCCACGGTGTCGGAAGGAGAGGTGGACCGACTAAGGTTACGCCACTGCAACGTTTGTTTCACGCCTAACAGTTCACTTCCACGAGTTCCCGCGAGAGGTGCTGGTGAAACATCGGTGCTCAGCGATCACTTCTTTAAATTAGATTTATATAAGCGCGGCACTGATGGAATAGTGTTATTGTAGTGAGTTTCGCACACACGCACACGCAATAGAAACTCTCACTAGAGCACCTAGCGGATTACAATAATTTGGGAAAAATCATCAATTTGGGAAGAGGCGATACGACTATTCGAGCCTTCCGGCTCGCTTTTATAGTTACCGATTGTCAACAGCTATGAAAACGAGACGCAATGCTCGAATAATCGTACCTCCTCTTCCCAAATTGTCCATTTTTGTGCGCAATCTGAGCGCGAATTAGGAAGAAATTACTCTATATCGAAAGTAAGCCTTTAAGATGACAGTAGTAAGTATGAAGTCGGCTCTCTCTTTCTTACACCGCGGTTAGAGCACAATGAGCGACAAGCGAGTAAACGTTTCCTTCGTTCAATGTTTTAGAGACGAAATAGGCACGACCGATTGCAACGATGAGCTCGTGTGTAAAAGTGTTTCACGATAATTACTGGAACTCTAACAAATTGCCGAAAATTGTTCGCTATATTACGTTTCTGTCAATGATACCGAATTTTTGTTCGTTTCGTTTCACGAGTCGATCTTTACTTTCTAGTTGCCCGAAGACCGAGTCATTACGCGACAATTAAAACGTCGGCAATTACGTTTACGTATTTCGAAAAGGATTTGTCTTGATGCGGGAGTCTAGCGAGTATCTAAGCATCGCATAATCGACGAGAAAATTTGGTAGGTGTCTAAACTACGGATTGAGGTAGAATTACACCATGGTAAATTCGAGACAATGTACATGCGAGAAGACTACCGATACCGTCCACGATCACAGAGAAACGGTAACCCAAAGACCGTTCTCCGGCCCGTCCAGACGCCATATTCGGCTTCGATTTCTGATGAATCGTCAACGTCAACGCCGTGAATACTAGCCTGTTTGCTTCGAGTCGTTATTGTTTATCGTTAACATTATACAGCCTAACGATATTATCGATACACGTTACACTTACGTACTGACTAGTCTATGAAACGACTGGAACCGCGATGATCTACGTGTACAATCACCAGTTTTTGGTTTTACGCTATATGCGATGAGACATCCACTCGATAGGAAACAACAAAGTTGATCTTGTGGACAGATTTATCGCCAGCCGCGGAATCGTTGATTGCGTTCACCTTGAATCGATGTATTCTTGGTAACCACGAGTTTCTGCAAGTTTGAACTTCGGTAAAACAATTATGATTCTAGGAAGCGTGTCGTTTTGTTTCGATATATTACGGTTTCATGTTTCGGATCAGCGTATTTTGCTTGAAATTTCAAACGTCGGAGGCTTCGAAGAAACTGAGAGAAACTTTTTNTTAATATTAAAATTTGCACTATATCTTCGTCATTATTCCTAACGTTGGGTCTCTTAGTTAGTGCCACGGTGTCGGAAGGAGAGGTGGACCGACTAAGGTTACGCCACTGCAACGTTTGTTTCACGCCTAACAGTTCACTTCCACGAGTTCCCGCGAGAGGTGCTGGTGAAACATCGGTGCTCAGCGATCACTTCTTTAAATTAGATTTATATAAGCGCGGCACTGATGGAATAGTGTTATTGTAGTGAGTTTCGCACACACGCACACGCAATAGAAACTCTCACTAGAGCACCTAGCGGATTACAATAATTTGGGAAAAATCATCAATTTGGGAAGAGGCGATACGACTATTCGAGCCTTCCGGCTCGCTTTTATAGTTACCGATTGTCAACAGCTATGAAAACGAGACGCAATGCTCGAATAATCGTACCTCCTCTTCCCAAATTGTCCATTTTTGTGCGCAATCTGAGCGCGAATTAGGAAGAAATTACTCTATATCGAAAGTAAGCCTTTAAGATGACAGTAGTAAGTATGAAGTCGGCTCTCTCTTTCTTACACCGCGGTTAGAGCACAATGAGCGACAAGCGAGTAAACGTTTCCTTCGTTCAATGTTTTAGAGACGAAATAGGCACGACCGATTGCAACGATGAGCTCGTGTGTAAAAGTGTTTCACGATAATTACTGGAACTCTAACAAATTGCCGAAAATTGTTCGCTATATTACGTTTCTGTCAATGATACCGAATTTTTGTTCGTTTCGTTTCACGAGTCGATCTTTACTTTCTAGTTGCCCGAAGACCGAGTCATTACGCGACAATTAAAACGTCGGCAATTACGTTTACGTATTTCGAAAAGGATTTGTCTTGATGCGGGAGTCTAGCGAGTATCTAAGCATCGCATAATCGACGAGAAAATTTGGTAGGTGTCTAAACTACGGATTGAGGTAGAATTACACCATGGTAAATTCGAGACAATGTACATGCGAGAAGACTACCGATACCGTCCACGATCACAGAGAAACGGTAACCCAAAGACCGTTCTCCGGCCCGTCCAGACGCCATATTCGGCTTCGATTTCTGATGAATCGTCAACGTCAACGCCGTGAATACTAGCCTGTTTGCTTCGAGTCGTTATTGTTTATCGTTAACATTATACAGCCTAACGATATTATCGATACACGTTACACTTACGTACTGACTAGTCTATGAAACGACTGGAACCGCGATGATCTACGTGTACAATCACCAGTTTTTGGTTTTACGCTATATGCGATGAGACATCCACTCGATAGGAAACAACAAAGTTGATCTTGTGGACAGATTTATCGCCAGCCGCGGAATCGTTGATTGCGTTCACCTTGAATCGATGTATTCTTGGTAACCACGAGTTTCTGCAAGTTTGAACTTCGGTAAAACAATTATGATTCTAGGAAGCGTGTCGTTTTGTTTCGATATATTACGGTTTCATGTTTCGGATCAGCGTATTTTGCTTGAAATTTCAAACGTCGGAGGCTTCGAAGAAACTGAGAGAAACTTTTTAAGAAACACGTCACGATTTTCGTTGATCAGCACTCGAATCGATAAAACAGCTATGTCCCCGAGAAACTTGATTCAAACGCAAGTGCTTCGCGGAAGTTTAATTTAAATGCAAATGGAACCCTCGCGGGAGCTAATCGGAAATTCTAACACCGTGTTGCTTGATATTAAATTCTACCATACTTCTGTGACAATTTATGAGCGCTGAAAGTTCTGCATTGGCTTACGCGAGTTGCCAACTGTGTTAGTAGTTTACTAATTTCGTAATCAACAGTTAACTGATTTTATCGAACCCCGCAACGAAATTCACCGTAAACGTGTACGTACACAGTGCACGTCGTCCACGATTCCTCGATGATCTGGCTGTAAATCCCCGCAGATCGTATTTCTAGCTGACTTCTTGCTGGCACTACAGACGCGATCGAATGAAACGGAAAAAATATATAACGCGTACGTCGAACTCAGACCCGTCTCCCTTAGAAAATATTTTGTGCAGTTTTATACAAAAGGAAAAACTTAAGCTTAACCCCCTTAACTGACGAACTTCTATGTATATGTATATGTATATATATATATACTAAAGACCGCGTAATAAGGTATGATACAGAGTTTGTACAAACGTGTCGCGTACGTGTTACAACTTATAACAAAGTGCCGGGTTTCGTCCATTCCTGCGAGGTTACGCGTACGCTTCACGGGTCGCGGGTCCGCGTAATTACACTCTAGGAACATCACGGGGACGTCGCTGAACGTCCCCCGATAGGAGGCCCTAGTTTCCGTTTCGGCGCCTCTCGGTGATCTACAACAGCTGTCAACTTTGTCGATTCCAAAGTACCGTGCATCGATCAACGAAAACGACCGGCGATCGCCGACGCGAAGAAGCTCGATCTACCGCGGTAGAGGGTGCCGACACCCATCGAACGACACCGAAGACCGGCCTCTGCGTCGCCGAGGACCGCCGGCCTGTAGTCTTCAACGAAATCCTCATTTAGTCAGTACAATCACATTCTTTGTGCCAACTCTGTATTATACATACAGAATCGATCTTCTATATACTTGTTAAGTACGAGAAATGCATGACTGGTCGACGTGTTATACTCGCGTGAACTTAACCTTGTATGTACAAACGCTTGTTCACGTTCATGCCGTCGCTTGTCGACTGTGAACGCGTCAGCTTTAGAATAAATAAGAAATCGTAGCCTCCGCGGCGTAACGATCGGTTCGCCTTGTAGCGGAGCCGGTCGAGCTGATTTAAGATCACGGGTAATCGCTCCTTAAATTAAGTGACAAGGTTCTAGCGCGAAATGCCGGCCGAGACTTCGCGGAGGCTGCGCCGGGAGGCCGCGCGAGGAACGTGTTTCCGATTGTTATCGTTTGCTCACCGTGACTCGTCTCTTATAGTATTATTAAACACGTAACGTTATTCACCTTATGCTACGCAAGTCGGCCCCGACGTATCAAGTACTGGCTAAAATATAAAAGTGACACGAGCGTTCCTCGAGCGCGGCCGCCCGCCAGCCTCGGAACACGAGCTCGACCTTCGCGGACCCTGAGGGATCGGTTTCGCGACTGTTTGGAAGATAGCTCGTTTCGTTTCAGCGGTCTCAAAGACGTATTACAATTAGCGTTCGTGGATTCGTTTGTGGCACTCGAGAGGAAGTCTACGGAAGAGTTCCGGCCGCCCGACTGGACCCTCCATGAAACTCGATAGATCGTGGTCGAACGGTGAGAAACGTCGTCGGCGGAGTCGTCGTCGAGTCGGGCGACCGGACCGCCTTGAATGCAACAGTGTTCGGACCACGAGATTTCGTTCAGCGGGCGAAAGTGGTGTCTTTGCCACAAAGTACGTCCCTGACCGCCCTGCTGCCGCCCCCAGGTCACCCTCGACGACCATCTCCTGCCCCATTTGGTTGAAGCTGTGCTCAGTGAGTCAGTTAAGTCGCAACGATTGCAGCGCTCGTCTTGGAATCATGGTGCTCGAGTGCAGAAAGCGAATGCTTGGCCGTGAATCGAACAGTCTCGTGAACGAGCAGCTGCCTCTCCTCCGCGCTGGTGCGCGCGGGATCTGGCCAGAATGTGACCAACCATTTTCGGAAGAGGGATGTCGAAGAGACTCCAGGTTGCCCGTCGCACCGACGTGCTCGCGAGCGGAGCTGCTCGTCCAGTCGAGTTTTACATCTTGCCAGTGGTGCTAGTTAGCAAAATATCGACTGTTGTTGGGTACTCAAAGCGGATACTCTTGCCAAGCGCGATGCTCCGCGACGCGGCGGTCGCTAACAACGGCCCAAGCTTTCCTTAGAACGACCGTCTGCTCCTTGCTCGCAGGAATTCTCTAAAGATTGAAGTTGGTGAGACGCTTAAGTGGAAGTTGGCCTCTAATATTTCACCCCTAAAAGGCACTCCGATCGACAGTCCAAATTATTGTCGTTGCACCAACTTTCCTACATGGAAGAACGATACCCTCGAGCAGAGTTCTCGCGGAGGACAGACTTCTGAATGAAAATTAAGAGCTGTTCGGCGCGGTGGTTAGCGACGGGACGCGCCGCGGACGCGTTCCGACTCGATCTCGCCGTCGCTCGAGCCAACGACGGCTCGATCCCTGACGTAGTATAGCAGCAAGACATTATTACGCCAGAGCGGCTTGCACGCCAGTCGACGAAACAACTAGTTGCGCTGATTATTATTGCTCCGACTAATCGGCTTCAAAGTGAAAGCGGTGTAAAGCGATTCGTCGCGGATATCAATTGTCCGTAGCTGTTCTTCCTAATCGCCATCGATTATTCTCTGATATGGCTGTATTATTGCCGTCGAAACCGGCGAATTCCATCGTGCGCCGAATCAGCGCCGAAGTCGCTTCTCAAATGACATACATCTCGATCTGTTGCACGACGGAATTCGCGCGTTAGAAATTTACTCGTGTTAATCGAGTACGGTCGTCGATTCGATAGTCGTGGATAGCGTTCAAGCGATCACAGTACGCATCGAAAGTTGTTCCGAGAGTAGTTTTTTTTAAGTTGTCCGTGCAAGTGAATGTGCCAGGACTTCGAGAGTTCGAGTAGGTAACAGTGGATCAGTTAGAGAAAGATGTCGTACGGTTCGTTTCTCGAAGAACAGTGGGGAAAAGAGTGCTCTGCTCGGCCCTGGAGCCGAGGTTTCCTCGAATGGTGTTCTTGCCATCGAGAACGAGTGCGGTTTTCGCGCTGAATGCGTGCCTACGTTTCTCGTCGGTCTCCATCGTTCCCGTCGTGTTTCGTAGCTGTGAATGCGACTCGATTCGTTGTCGCATCTCGTACGCGGTGTAATTCGAGCGGAAAGCCCGCGGCATTTCTATATTGAGCAACGCAGATACGTGTACTAATCGCTGAAGTTATAGCTTGTGCTCGAAGCAGATACAGTTTGAAACGTACACGTCGATTAGCGATAATGGCCGTGTCGAAGAGAAGGCGAGAACATTCTTCAGGATTCAACGGTTGCGTACCTCGGATACATACGTGCGTGTACGTCCGAGGAATTTCGCGGTCGGCGGGTCTTGTAAACGATTCATTTGTTGATCACGGGGGACCAGGCGACTGGTCTTGTAGCACCGATACAATAACGAAAGCTTCAACGTTCATTCTCGTTCGTCTTTGGGCACGATACACGGCTCGTTCGCAAAGACGATTAGATACTTAACAAAGTTTCGGAAATTTGTGCTCTGTCGAAGATCCTTCTCGGAGCAAATCATCGGTTGTTGTAACAAGAGAGTTTGTTTTTCGAAGAGACTTCTTCTGCTTCAATCGTAGAGCTTGCAATTATTCGGATGGAAATAATCTTTGCTTCGATATGTATACTTTAGGCTTTAGCATCGTTTAGTATCATTTTGTTATAGATAGTCGCCTAAAGTATGTCAAAGTACAGTAGAATTCGTGTGATTCAGCACCAACAATATTCCCAATTATTGCTAAACGACTTCTTTGAATAGCTGTATAATCGTTTCGAATGTTATACATATAAATAAAATATATTAAATAATATCTCGTACTAAACTATCAATACCAAAGTTCCATAAGCAATTCAAAAGTCTAAAACGTATATAAAATCATGTATAAAAAAAGACGAAGAATACGCGAGAGATAGGTTTGGCTATCGTACCGCCTATATGTTTTAATAATAAATTAATATCATAACAAATAACGAAACAACGATTAAACTCAACAAATATGCAAGACAATTGTTATTACTATTAACGCAGCAAGTCATACGTTTGAGCATGTTAACTTACTGACAGGTTACATCAAGTGAGCTCAGAATATGTTCCTAGCAGCTCACATTTGTTCGTATCAACAAACAACATTAATAAACAGAGGTAGACACGCGGTTGATTGACTAGGCAACGCGACTAGATAACATAAAGAATTTCATGAGAGACGAAAGTAAAACGAGCGAGGATACATCAGTCTTAGCAGTGTAGACGTATCATAATTTATGATATTATTAAATAATAAACTAGCTCCGAAATTAAATAAATTCAAAACAACTAAATGTGTGCCAGTCTCTGTCGATCGATACAATGACTTTAAAATATTTAAAATAGAAGATTCTCAGATAAATCATGTTCGAAATTCTTGATACAAATGCTCTCTAAATGCGTTAACATTGCACCCTACGACACCTAACAAATTTAAACAAACATTAGTAGTTACGAATTTCGCGCTTCCCAAAAAATAAATTGAAGACAGTCGCAACAACTAAATGAATATAATTGTTTTGGCGTTTGGCAAGAGTTGGGTCTCTTTTGACCAAGAGTTAGTACCATCCGAGCACTGATCTTTTGGCAGACAACTGAATATAAATAGCTAAAAACATAAAGTTCAATAAGATGACTAATATCGATCTTAAGGTAGTACTTCCAAAAATACATGAAAGAAACTGACTAGTTCCAAGATAAATAAACATGAAAAATTGCACTATTGTTTGGAAATAATCTTTTTAAACGTCCCATTGAATCATTCTTCAGCAAGTATCACTGCTCAAGGGTCGAATGAGTTCTTCCCTCAAACGATTTCCTTCGTACCGACGACTTCGTAAACATTGTATCCAGAACCATAAACGACGCGATCATTCGAGCACTGAGTCACGCGATCCCGCTGGCCACAAATCGCGTCGAGAAGCGTCTTGGGCCATTTTTCATTGACGGTGGGCCCAAATTTCTACAGCAATCCATTCATCCGCAAAATGCGATCCCTTCCCGACGCGAAGCAAGGCAAGCCTGGTCGCTTGGCGTCGAAGACCCATGTCGCTCGAACGATCAAAAATCATAGAGAACACAATTTCGAATTTAGAAAGACACCGACCACCCCAAAGAAATGACATCGACCTGTTGGTGCTGGGTTCCGAGACTTCTACTGTATGAACTCAAGAGCCTCGAGAACGAGTTTTTCGTACGCGTGGTAGACCTTCGAAATCCCTTCGAAAAAGGGCGAATTTAACGAGCACCGGCGGACCGTTTCGCGGGTGTCCGCTTGAGCTCGACGTGTACGCTTCGCTGGGGCAGGCGAGGTTCTTCCTAGAAAAGCAGAAAGGAAACCCGAGTGCGGCGAGCGTCCCCCTTGGCCCGTCGGGCCATCCCAAACTGTCAGACGGACGGGTCGCTGCCGGGGGCGGAGCCCGTCTTGCTGCCGTCGACACCAGCACCGCCACCGTCGCCGTCGGCGCCCGCACCCTCTCCGCCCCTGTACGGCGAGCCGCCGGTCCCACGCGCCGACAGACCTCGGAAATCCAGGTTGTACTGAAAAAACAGAGGCCAAAAAGCGTTAACGGTTGCCCGACATTGTTTGCTCGTTGACAAACAGAGAGTGCTGTCCACTGGAAACTTTCGAGATATCCTTCCCTCTCTTTCTCTCTCTCTCTCTCTCTCTCTCTCTCTCTCTCTCTCTCGCCACCACCCTCGCTACGAGGAGTTCAAGAATTCTGGGCCCTGATCACCGTTGTCGTGTATTTTCTCAAATGTCACGTGGCTCCATTCGCGACGTCACGGATGCGCGGTTCAACAGAGCAGAGGTAGAGGGCAGCATAGTCGACCGACACTACGTGACCAATCACGAACGTGAAAGCATCCCTGGCAAACCTGCTGCCCTTTAACCCGACTCTGGTCAACTGCTCATCCGTGTCGTCAACAGTGTTCCCGGAGAAATAAGTCACGCACGATGGTCCAGATATTATTTTGCGGTCTAACAAGGAAAGGTCTCATATGTGACACAGACTTTTTGATCAGGCATTGCACAATGCTAGAGCTTCAAATCCTAAAGCTAATGGCATCCTCTTCTGAGGGCAGTCGATTAACAGCTTTTGAAACATTAAACGTCAAGGTTTTCCCTTTTTTTTCTAGAAATACAGGTGTAGCTCCTTCAAGGTATGTGCAATTTCTATCTGTACATTTCTCTATTTATTTAAATTATTTTATCAATTTTTATTTCGAATTACGCTAATCTCGATTATTAGGCGCTCGGCCTCATTTCATCAATGTAATCAAGCGGAATTACCGAAATAAATGAACAAATTTAGTGAAACTAGCTCCGAAAGTCGAGCTTTCATAATTTCATAATTAACTTTCATTAATTTTATAGTGCTTTAGTCAGGGGATGCTATTATGGGATGCTATTATGTCTACAAGTGTATTATAGTGGGTTCTGCGACCGTGAAGTAGGTTATTCTACATTCAAATATGAATCAAAAATACAAAATAACATTTTTTGATTTGATATATTATTTTCGAGAAAAATTAGTTTGAAAATTCAGCGAATAATAGTCCTATTCAATAGTAATCATCTGGTTATAACCAACTGTTTCTACTTCTTGTAAATATTCGCGAACTCATATGAGACAACTTTTATTCTACATTTTTGTAATAATAATAGCAACAGCTTAATCGTTACAGTAATTTCTCCCCAATTCGCACAAAAATGGACAATTTGGGAATTGGGGAGAAAACTGCTTTTCAACAACTGTAAAAACGAGCCGCAAGGTTGGAATAATCGTATCTACTCTTCCCAAATTGTCCATTTTTATGTGTAATTTGGGAGCTAATTAGGGAGAAATTGCTGCATCTATTTTGCAGTAACCGAATCTTGGTAAATATTTTGATTTTTCTTAACAATCGTGCTCCTTGCAAATATATTACACGTTTTAATTTCTGTTGCTCGTGCTAAATCCATGTTAATGAATGGTCCATTTTGGGGGACTAGCAACGTAATATGTTTTAGTAACTCAATACAATCGCCTATTGTCGCCCAAGTAAACACTGTTGCAGAGATATCGTGACATAGCAGAATAGGGATTTATGGTCACGTGACTTCTTATGCTGTCACACTATGGCTTATGGACCTGATTTCGGCAGGTCAAACTGTACACGTGTTTGCTGTGTGCGACCAGAACGTGGTGGCGAAAGACAGAGGGGAGCACGAAGGATATCGTACTCGTGGACAGCACTGACGTAAGAGGATGAAAATGGGAACGACAGGTTTTGTACGCTCGAAATCAATGAAGTTATTCGTGATCATTAAAATCGAAACGTAAAAATAATACGATTATCAATTTGAAAACGTGGCCTTGAACAGAGAAAATATTCTGTATTCCTTATACTTTCCTTACACGAATTACGAGTGGAAATATTTTGGACTCGTGGAAATATCGATTATATTTTTAGTCATCCTCTTAGACTTGCAACGAATACTCTCATTTGAAACTGAGAAATAATTTCAGTGCAGAATGTATTAATATTTATGACCTCGATCATTATGAATTCCAAAATATTTCTCTGGGATACCGTCGTTAATCTCTAATGAAAAAGCTTTTTAGTTGAAAATGCTCTTCCTCGAAACGGTGCGACTGTTACAAAGTATCGTGAAAAAGACAGCGAATATTGCGATATAAAAGTAACTGAACGTAATTATGAAATATTGTTATTCTAACAATTAGTACTTCAAATAGTGATGCACACGTGTCATTTCATTACGTAAAATAAGCGTTATTTTCGTTAGTACTCGGTATGTCAGTGTGCGACGCCAATAAAAACCAAAAAACAAATTATCAACTATGTTATAAAACATTGCATTGCGCCCATTCCTGTGGGATGACGGCTGGAAACAATAAACTGGATTTGTTATCAGTTCACCTTGCTGTGGATAATGTTGTACATTGTCACGGTGTAATTTGTTAATCGAAGCAAAGCTGTTGCGACGAAAAAGTGTCTGCAAAAATACGGTAATAAAAAAGAAAAGAAAAGATTCAAGCCAGATCACACTACTGCGAGACAGAAATATGCCTACGCGTAAAAAGCGCGATGAAAATAGCGCCGACGAAAAAAAAGGAGGCGGAAAAATCATTCGACGAACGCGGATGCCGGAAAACGATCGATCAATATCCTCGACGTAAATAGGCAGTTCGATGATTAATTAAAGACAAGTTCCTTCGGGCGAGACGCTAAACCAACTGAATAATTAATCATTTTCATTCAATTAAGGCTACGGCCGAGGTAATAATAATCCCTAATTGCAGTTTTCGAACTTCCTGCGGCGTATTTCCATGATATTTGTTTTAGTAAAACAAGTTCTCCCGTTCTTCTGGAAATCGGAAATTAAACACGTAAATGCACGTGGAACGTACATAACAAATATAATATGAATACATTATTATATTACGTATTAATATATTGTATATTAATATATTATACATTAATATATTATTACGTTATACATTAATATATTATTATATTATACATTAATATATTATTATGTTATACATTAATATATTATTATGTTATACATTAATGTATTATCATAGTATATAAATAAAGTTCATCTAAAAATTTCTCACGGTATCATTTTTATGACTGGCTTGGTAGATCGAGTGTCAAAAATCGCCAATTGAGCCGTTTATTTTGAAAGTGGCATAAGTCACTTTACCGTAATGAAAAGTGGTGATTTTTTAATGTTTATACGAAATTATCTATACTGAGAAAAATATCAGTATCCTGAGATAACAAATACAAGTAAATCTTCTCGAAAGTTAGCATCCATATTTTTAAACGTGTTAAAACGCAAACCATTAAATATATCGACTTAAAAACAAAGTGACTTATACCACTTTCGAAATAAACGGCTCA